TTTTTTTTTTTTTTGATCTAGCGGCCGGCAAGTTATTGGAGATGACCTGTTTGATAAAAGGTTTCTAAGAGAGGGTGAAAGTCTTGGAGCCTTCATTTTCTGATGGGAATCTTGACAACCATGATTGGAACAAGAAGGTCAGTTTTTCTTCTTCTTGTTCATTTGTGGATGGACCACCTACACTGATGGTAGTCTCGGCAAAGAATTTGAAGGTTAATTATAGCATAATTGTGTTAAATAGTGTTAGGCACAACCCATATAGCCTTTCCTAATCTTTTGCAAGCAAAGTTGGCCACTCATTAAGGAAGAATAATGCCAACACTTAGAGGTATCATCGAAGTTAATTCGAGTTAGACATAACTGGCCAATTGATTTGAATGCACAAATGGAAATGTCATTTCAATACTTAATGAAAAATTGTGACGTGACCAAAATTTATTTTGAATGGTATATATAAATATCATGACCTTTGATAGACTATAAATATAAACTAAGATTTATATTATTTATCTTATGAGAAAATAATTTGTTGAATCGAATTTAATTGAATGTTGGCTTCCAATATGGTCATCATTTGGTGATGGAATTTTTGCTTCAAGCTGATCCAATTTGCCTTTTAAAAAGGACCCCACCCAGAGATCTGGATCTTTAGGATATTGATTAGAATTTTATAATGACTTTCTGTTTTTTTTTTTTCGATAAGACTTTTACTGTTTTGTTTATATGTATAAAGAAANAGAGGTCTAGGATTTTAACATCCATTGCAGAGTTATCATCTTTAATAGCACCTCCTATCCAGTCTAGCATCTCTATCTTGAATACCTCACCGGTTTTAACCTCGGCGACCGGCGGTATTTCTGGGTGCCAACGATTGTGAAGAGGTTGCTTCTGCTCCCATGGCTTCTTCCTTGGGTCTATGGGAACTACTAGTCTTGAAGTTGGAGGAGCCATGGTGGGATAGAGTGGTAGTTTGGACGAGAAACTTATGTAGGCTAATCTAATGGTATCGGAGCAAGATGGTCGTTGACTGAAGTGGGTTGGTGGGACCTTTTTGGAATGGTCCCCATACATTTCAGTAAGAGACAAATATGTTGGACACTTAGTTCTTATATCAAACAGGACTTTTTGATAATAAAGCAGGTATGAAGGTTATTTTCTATTGTAGAGCTTTTGTTTCTTAAAATAGTGGGTTGTAAACAATTCAGAAATAAAATAATTATAATAAAATCTCAAAGTTGTGAAAGAAACTAGGGGAGGGTCAGCAAACTTACAAATATGCTATAGGAAAAGGATAAAAAAATAACTCCCATTTAATCCTTAGTTGCTTGTTTAACTGTCGAACAAAGAAGGAGGGGTACAAGCACATTTGGGTTCAAGTTTCTCTGATCGAGATGATTATTGAGATGAATTTCCACCACCTCTTATTTGCCATCTTTATGTTTTGTGCTTACCAAGTGTGCTTAGTAGTTCAGTATATGCTGACAGTGACCTAGAAGATAAGGTAAATAAACTCACAGTAGAGATGTCAGCATGTTTGATATCTTCAGCAGTGTACTCCTTGGTAATGCCACCACCACTGCAATCCACCTTCTTAACCCTGAAAACCTCTCCAACTTTGACCTCTGCAACTGGGGGTATGTCTGGGTGCCATCGTTTGTGAAGGGGAAGTTCTGTTCTCGTGGCTTCTTCTTCAAATCTATGGGCACCACCAGTCTTGCACCCTGTAGAGCCATGGCTTTACTCTAATCTTTTTTTCTTTTTTTTTTTTTTTTATGATCTAGTAGCAGGCAAGTTATTGTAGATGACCTGTTTGATATTAGGTTTCTTTGTGAGGCTGAAAGTCTTGGAGCCTTCATTTTCTGATGGGAATCTTGACATCCATGATAGGAACAAGCAGGTTAGTTTTTTCTTCTTCTTGTTCATTAGTGGATGGACCACCTACACTGATAGTAGTCTCTATAAAGAATTTGGAGGTTAATTATAACATAATTGTGTTAAATAGTGACAGGCACAACCCATATTGCTTTTCGTAACCTTTTTGAAAGCAAAGTTTTGTTTTTTTATACGAAATAATGACATTTTAATATATTATAAAACATCATCTTGAAGAAGAGTTCGCCACTCATTAGAGAAGAATAATGCCAACACTTGGAGGTATGAGCGAAGTTAATTCGAGTTAGACATAACTGGCCATATGATTTGAATGTACAAATAGAAATGTCATTCCAATATTTAGTGAAAAATCGTGATGTGACCCAACATTGATTTTGAATGATATATATATATACACACACACTAATAAATTTGTTGAATCGAATTTAATTGAATGTTGGCTTCCAATATGGTCATCATTTGGTGATGGAATTTTTGCTTCAAGCTGATCCAATTTGCCTTTTAAAAAGGACCCCACCCAGAGATCTGGATCTTTAGGATATTGATTAGAATTTTATAATGACTTTCTTTTTTTTTTTTTTCGATAAGACTTTTACTGTTTTGTTTATATGTATAAAGAAAATGATAGCCAATTTATTCTGGCTAGGGAAATAGTCCACCCATCTACTCTTTGTATTGTAATGCTTTTCCTAGGAGTATGATGTATTGACGAACAGTGAGAAGAAAACGATGGCTTCATTTAGGGTGGTAAAAAATCTATCCCGATGAAGAATTGACTTTAGATTTTAAGAATAAGATCATGAATATGCGTGTCATTACAAAATTGTTGGATTGTGGGTTTTGTACAATCCCATCTACCATGAATATGGAACGTTCAGATGAAATCAAGAGTCATTTTTCATCCAAAGGTAGCCCCCATGGTGAGGATCGTGTAGCCAACAATGATTGCATCACCCCGTGAAGTTCAAGGTCATAGTTCACATAGGTGTTAGTTGGCGCACAATGAGGATCGTTTACTTGTGTGAGTTCCAAAAACTTTACACGAATCATAGATTGTGTGTTTTCTTTTGCATCCATGATACTAATTTGTAGTTTTACAGGAGAGAATTAGCAGCCTGAGGGATGCAATATGGTGCAAAAATAGGAGTTCTCAATCCCTACTCCGGTTTATATGCCCTCTCATAAAAATATGATTTTTTTTTTAATTTTTTATATCATCTATAGATTACTCTTACAATTGAAACAAAATTATATTAGAGAAAAAAATGTTTACCTTAGGGTGAAAACAAGTCTGGAAAAAAAAAACTCTAAATCCTCAACCTTAAAGACAAAATATTGGAAATCAAGCCTCGTCTTTAATAAGAATTGACTCTCGACTTCTTGGTAGAATATTGTGAGAGGCCGAATAGATTCATAACATTGTGTGTGTGGGTGGGTTGTTGAAAGGGGGGGGGGGGTTAGAGTAAAAATTGCTTGGTTGGAGTGGATTATTGTTATAATCGGGGGTTCGGAGATTAGAAAATGGATCGTAATTTGTGGGTGTGTGCAATTAGAGGTTTGGATATTGGGAAGTTGGACTGTGAATCAATGACTCTAGAGTGGTGTGTAGGTGTTTTGAGGATGATTAGGATGTTTGCTATGTATAGGAAGGTGATTGGTGAAGAGGAAACAGACCGGGAAGCACAACTAGGCAAATTAGGGTTAGAGTATACCAGAGAATTAGGAGTGCGGGAGTGAAATTCGAGGGTGAAATTGGAGGTGATTTAGAACCTTAAAAATTAAATGGCATTTCNTTGATATTAGGTTTCTTTGTGAGGCTGAAAGTCTTGGAGCCTTCATTTTCTGATGGGAATCTTGACATCCATGATAGGAACAAGCAGGTTAGTTTTTTCTTCTTCTTGTTCATTAGTGGATGGACCACCTACACTGATAGTAGTCTCTATAAAGAATTTGAAGGTTAATTATAACATAATTGTGTTAAATAGTGACAGGCACAACCCATATTGCTTTTCGTAACCTTTTTGAAAGCAAAGTTTTGTTTTTTTATACGAAATAATAACATTTTAATATATTATAAAACATCATCTTGAAGAAGAGTTAGCCACTCATTAGAGAAGAATAATGCCAACACTTGGAGGTATCNGGGGGGGGTTAGAGTAAAAATTGCTTGGTTGGAGTGGATTATTGTTATAATCGGGGGTTCGGAGATTAGAAAATGGATCGTAATTTGTGGGTGTGTGCAATTAGAGGTTTGGATATTGGGAAGTTGGACTGTGAATCAATGACTCTAGAGTGGTGTGTAGGTGTTTTGAGGATGATTAGGATGTTTGCTATGTATAGGAAGGTGATTGGTGAAGAGGAAACAGACCGGGAAGCACAACTAGGCAAATTAGGGTTAGAGTATACCAGAGAATTAGGAGTGCGGGAGTGAAATTCGAGGGTGAAATTGGAGGTGATTTAGAACCTTAAAAATTAAATGGCATTTCTCCAAAATTAGCTGCCTGGCTGCAGCTGAGGGTTCCCCGTCCTTCCCCAAGCTTCTAGAGGTGCTGGGAAGAGGCCCACATCTTCATCCAAAGCCCTAGGAGGATAGAACTCGCCCGTAGTGAGAGAAACTATACAGAGAAATTAGAGAGATAAATAAAGTGCGAAGAGCAAAANATATTGCTTTTCGTAACCTTTTTGAAAGCAAAGTTTTGTTTTTTTATACGAAATAATGACATTTTAATATATTATAAAACATCATCTTGAAGAAGAGTTCGCCACTCATTAGAGAAGAATAATGCCAACACTTGGAGGTATGNTTGAGGATGATTAGGATGTTTGCTATGTATAGGAAGGTGATTGGTGAAGAGGAAACAAACCGGGAAGCACAACTAGGCAAATTAGGGTTAGAGTATACCAGAGAATTAGGAGTGCGGGAGTGAAATTCGAGGGTGAAATTGGAGGTGATTTAGAACCTTAAAAATTAAATGGCATTTCTCCAAAATTAGCTGCCTGGCTGCAGCTGAGGGTTCCCCGTCCTTCCCCAAGCTTCCAGAGGTGCTGGGAAGAGGCCCACATCTTCATCCAAAGCCCTAGGAGGATAGAACTCGCCCGTAGTGAGAGAAACTATACAGAGAAATTAGAGAGATAAATAAAGTGCGAAGAGCAAAATTCAAGAGAGTCTTGGTCGAGCTACCAAGGGTATCCCTCTTACCTATTAGGACCTCATTCATTTTGAGCACTAANCCCACCCAGAGATCTGGATCTTTAGGATATTGATTAGAATTTTATAATGACTTTCTGCTTTTTTTTTTTTTCGATAAGACTTTTACTGTTTTGTTTATATGTATAAAGAGNTTGAGGATGATTAGGATGTTTGCTATGTATAGGAAGGTGATTGGTGAAGAGGAAACAGACCGGGAAGCACAACTAGGCAAATTAGGGTTAGAGTATACCAGAGAATTAGGAGTGCGGGAGTGAAATTCGAGGGTGAAATTGGAGGTGATTTAGAACCTTAAAAATTAAATGGCATTTCTCCAAAATTAGCTGCCTGGCTGCAGCTGAGGGTTCCCCGTCCTTCCCCAAGCTTCCAGAGGTGCTGGGAAGAGGCCCACATCTTCATCCAAAGCCCTAGGAGGATAGAACTCGCCCGTAGTGAGAGAAACTATACAGAGAAATTAGAGAGATAAATAAAGTGCGAAGAGCAAAATTCAAGAGAGTCTTGGTCGAGCTACCAAGGGTATCCCTCTTACCTATTAGGACCTCATTCATTTTGAGCACTATTATGCATGAATTTTAGTTTTGAAAGGGTGGTGGGTGGTGATTTGGAGGATCGCCGTGGTCGGTGGTGGTGGTTTGTAGTGTGAAACCGAGGAAGGGTTTTGAAAAAAATCAAACCTTCTTAAATTTTGCGTTTTGATGTTGGAGGGGACTAAAATGGACCTAAGAAACCCATTTCCATCGTTAGATTTGAGTTTAGAGACTGTTAAGGGGGTTAAAACTCAAGTTGTATGTTAATTCGAGATGTCTTACCGATGGGGTTTCACAGAGGGGTGTGAGGTGAGTTAGTAAACTCTGAAAACAAGTGAAAAGGTGTTATGAGTTGTGAGAAATAAGAGGGTCAGGGTTGGTAGGAGGACACTTAATGTTTATTGGGGAAGAAGATGAAGCGAAGGGTTTACACTAGTGCACCCAGTCCTCGTGTGAGGGCACGTCTGGCGTTCGATGGGGCTCTAGTTGGTGCCAAAAATTCTGCAATGTTCGTGCGGAGGTCTCGGTAAAATATTAAGTCTATTTGACGGCTGGATCAAAATGAGGAGTAAAATTATAGTTTTGGCATTCGGGACAAATTTGACCCAGTTTTGGGGTGATTTTTGTCAAAAAAATTTTATATTCATTTATAATTAGTTAATTGGATTGTGTGGGTTGAATTTCATCAAAAAATAACACTGTTTAATTTTTGGTTATTTCAGATCAAAATACCAAGTGAGTAGGGTTTCTCAATTTCAAATCAGACGGAGCATTTCTAAACTTGCTTTTTAAATTATGTTTTACATTATTTATGAATGTTTAGCATGTTATAAATCATGTTGATTGAGTTTTGAACTTGGGCTTAAAAATACAGATCTGGATTAGGGTTTTGAGTGCAGTAATGCACAACTGTTTGAAACGATTGCTTTGACCGTATGAAATGAGATACCAGAATCCTTTTAAACTAAGTATAAGTGCACACTAGTCGAGTGACAAAAGAGTTTACATTCCAGTTTGAGGCGGTAGAGAGTATTCATTGAGTTTATAAATGCCTGGGTGATCTAGTTGGTTTTTGGACTTGGGTTCTAAATGT